CATGATGAATCCATGTCATTTGGTTATGTTAGGATGAGTAATCATTGTTGGTTTTAATTGCGATGATGCAATGAAAATCTGGTTTGGTTCTATATCCTGATATCATTAATGGACAAGACTTTTGGAGTATGCTAAAGGAATATAATGGCAATTTTGAGCTCATAAAGTCTAACACATTTGTAAGGTTGTAAGGACATATATATTTGTGACCAGTGCGAGATTGTTGGCAAAATTTGGGTCATGTATATATATGATACATAATTTAAATGTGTTAGGGCCATTATTTATTAAGCCAAATATTAAAGTGATCTGACTAAATTAAAGTTTTGGCTAAAGGCATATGTCATGAAAATAAAATTGTGTAGAGACCATAGAGTAATTTCTAATTTGATGAGGGGCCAAATTGGAAATACTAAAACTTAAGTAATTAACCTAATTCTGGTTATCTAAAGGGTCATGGTCCCCTTCTGGCACACACACAGAACGTAAGTATCAGTCCCGTTCCTTTCTTTCTATCCCCATCAAGAGAGAAAATCAAGAGGGAAATACAGGTGATCTTCAGGTGGAAGACCATAAGATCAATATAGTGCTCTACAAAGACATCATCATTATGGCTAATTCAGGTACGCTTTCGCATTCAGTTTACAACATGTTTATCAGTATGGGATTATGATTATGTTTATGTTTGATCGTTAGAATCAAAATCAGGATTATTATTATTATTATTGTTTTTCCAACATATCCTACTTCCAATTTGAGTTTGAGCTCTAGTATTGATATTGCAATTGAATTGATACACATCTAAAATAAGAGTTCCATAATTGTCAAACACAAATTCTTTACAATTACAAACAAATGTTTTTTTTCAATGAAACTGATATTAACCAACAATACTGACCATGATTAAAATTTGTTAGTGATTTTGTGTAAGAAGTATAAATTGTCCTATTGTCAATGTACTTTAATTGATTTGCATCTGATTTTTTTTTTTTGCAGTTATAGTTTTATATAGGTACAAATCAATTAATAACAATAATATATGTACTTGTGGTTTAAGAGATTTTGTTCAAGAACTTTTGTAATTTCTTAGTGCGGATCATTTTTCCTTCTTTCTTGTATTTTTTGAATTATTTTGTTCCATAACTGAAGATTGTTGTTACACAATAGCCGATGGTTCAATATCGAAGGAAGAAGAAGAAAAATACACACAATTTGAACATTTTTGTTTTTGTGTTAATGAAGTTTACAAAATATGCATGTATTGTCTAATATTTTCTTCTCTCAGTAATACTATGTTATAGATTCTTTCTTTGTGTAAAAGACTATTACTCAATCGAGTGTAAAAGAGTTTTGCTTTATTATTATAAAATAGTTTTATATTTAAGTCTTTAAAGTAATAAAAAATATTAAATTTAGACTATAGAATAATATTACTTTTTCAATTGGTTATATGTAGTTCAATTTGAAAAGAATAATTATTCAACAAGAATATTGATTTTTATGGAACAAAATTAATATAATGGGGATATTTTGATATGTAAGATGAGTAAGGAAGCATAGTGTGTGAAAAGAAGTGGACACAAGTAAAATGCAATGACTTTAATTGAAGTAATTATAGCGTTGACATGTAAAAGATGTTCTTATGGTCATATCTTTGCAATGCAACAATTCCAAAATAAGAAACTCAATTTTATGTCAATTTTTGGTCAAATAATTGTTTAACACTTTTTGATTTTGATTAAGACAACAACCATGAGGCTAGGCATTGATAGTTGTGCTGAAAGCATACATATTTTCAATTTTTGAATGTTGTTCTCACCAAATATTCAATTGTACACGTACAAAAGGTTGGACATTGATAATTTTAGACGAAGATGACTCAAATTGGTAAAGTGTGCAATAATTTCCAAATTATTGACTACAAAATAGTTTTGTTTCACTTTAAAGTATGCTCCTAGTTTTGTTTGATAATATGCACTTTGTAGTGTACTTTATGCGGTTATAAACATTGAAATATTGATAAAACTCTATGCTAATTTTGTTTGAATTGTATTAATAATTTGGGTGAAACATTGTAATGTTTTGTTTTGGTTTTAATTCACGTGCATAAAGTATTTTAACACACATTTCTATCTTAAATTTATACATTAAAACAATTTTTTGTTTTCGAGTCTAACTTATAAGCATAACCTTTATGGTGTATAATGTGTTTATGATAATGTAAACCTTAGAATAAACAATGTAACAAATTGTATAAACCTTCAATATATTATATGCATAACCATTAGTTTTAGAAATAGAGCTTGAGGTTGTTTCTATTTGTATTTATATTGTGCATTGTATCTATCTTGTTATCAAAGATGACATTATGTTGTCATTATAATTGTAATTTGACCACGTTGAATAAGATTTCATTCACTACATTAATCAACATTCAATAACATGGGATAAATGAATACATTGCTTCATGCCATAGTTCATACAAAAATGAAAAAAAAAAAAAAAAAGCAAATATAATTCATTGTGCATTAAGCATCTCAACAATAACATTCATGCATTAGTTTGAATGTTTATCAGTTTGAAAAATAGCATTCTCCTTTTCACTTAATTGATGTTTAAAACAAAATTCCTTCCCCTTTTGGTGGATGTCTTAGAATTATTCTAAATTAAAAATTTGCATCTAACTTCTTTCAGTGGTACACAGAGAACTAGTGTTATGAACCTAATTTTAATGAATTTACTCAGTAAATTCCAGTAGCAAGTGTTGGAATAAATGAGGCAATTAAAAACTACACAACTCTTTATATAATTTTAGTAGGTAATGAACTTAAATAAGTAATAACTAATTGACTAAAACCTCACCAAATGATGACTTCAAATTTGTATTTGGTGAGTGTTATGGTAAAGGAAATTAACAATCCATTTGCTTCAATTCGCGTATTAAACATGTCAAAAGAAAGAGATGTGTAAGTTTCTTTAAAAACTTTTATATATAACTTACTCTAGCTTACATAAATAAAAAATATTGGCCACCCACGTAATATAAGATTGTGAACTTAGTTCAATCGTTTGTGAGTAAAAACTTATCTAAGGTCACGTGGAATCTACAAACACCATTATTACTCTTGTCATCTTATAAATATCGTAATGCATATAGTTTATCTACAAATGAAATGACAAAACGAGAATCAACATATCCTACAATCTACCATAAAGCCTTTTCTAATTTTTTTTTTTGTAAAATTATTATTATAAGATAGTCACAAATAATTTTCCAACCATCAATGAATATAAAATTCTAATACATTAAATATGTAAAAGAAACATTCAACCGTACCAATGACTTCTAATTAGGTGATACTAATGACATAATTTTTGTTTTTACAATAAACACGACAGAGAATAAAATTCTTATGCCAACTGTACCTTCGATTTTTCATAAATATGTGATTCATATAGAATAATTACCAATAACAAATCTTGCAGTAAAAAAATTATTATTCCACATTATTAAGCACATAAAAAATTTGGAAAGAGAAAAAATTACAATGGACAATGGGAAAGACAGAAAAGAAACTTGACTTGTTTTATTTAGTCTTATATTTTAATTTCTAAAATTAACTTTTAGTAAATTATCTTAAAAAATTATGTCTAAAAATAAATTTTAAAAAAACTTATTTAATAACTTTAGTTTTAAAATATCACAATAATAATAAAATAAAGAGTTGTGAACAAAAATTAAATACTAATTTTAACAATTTTATGATAATTAAATAATATAATATAATTATGATACAAATATCACTAATAACAATTGAAATATTAATAAAAATATTTTTTTTTAATTTTTAAAAATTAAAAGTATAAAATAATTATTAAAAAATATTTTAGCAAAATAGTTATTAAATAAATTTTTAAATTTGTTTAAAACTAAAAACAATATTTAAAATCAATAAACAAATAAACCCTTTGAAAGAGGGAGATGAAAAAAAAATGTTAAAAACATATAGGAAGAGAATGGAGGGTTTTAACAATCTGAGGGTATAATAGATGAATAGAAAAAAGTCATTTGAGTTTTTTTTAAAAAAGTCATTATTTAGAGTAGATAAATATTGTAGTTTTTCATTCAATGGCCACTTCAATGTTGTAATGTTGGAGTCTTAAAAAATATATTGTAGTCTTTTTCTGAAAAAAGTGAGTAGAGTTGTATAAATTTTTTAAGATAACTCACTATTTAGACATATATCAATATAAGAAAAGAGGACATTGTTGTAATTTTCATAAATTTACTTTTTTTTTCTTCAAATTTTTTACTTCTATTTATCTTATTGATCTGTTTGCTTTGAAAAATAATGTATATTTTATGTTGTGAAACATAATTTTTTTCTCTATTTTATTTCATTACTTCACTCTCAGTTATATTTAAGCAAACATTTTTATAAGGATTCAAGGAAAATAAATTAAAATAATTATTTTTTATAAAAGATAAAATTAAGCATGAATAAACTAACTTAAAAAAAAAAAGATAATGTTTGAAAAAAGTTGGAACTAAAAGAAGTTAAAACAAAAAAAGTGTGTAATTTGCCCTTTTACAGCAGGGTGAGAAGTTGTATGCCCTAGACAGTCCAGTCAATAACACCGAGAAAAATATAAAAAGAAAGAAAAAAGAAGAAAAAAAGATAAATACAGGATAGACCAAGTCAAATCACTACCCCCATTTATTTCCATCAAATCACTTTTCAACCCACTTCCACTATCCCCACCCGCCCGTCATTCGGCGCATCCTCACCGCTCTCTCTCGCTATCCTCTCACCTGCGGGTCAGTTGGACATCACCCATCGTCCCCACTCTTTTCTCTCACTCGTTAACTTTCTCTCTGTAAAACAAACAAACAAACACGCCATTCTTCCTTTCTCTCTCTGTTTTTTTTTTTTTCTCTTTCTAGATTTTCCTCTTATGAGCCCTAACTCGCGGACCCATCGTCGTCGTCTTCGCTAGCCATGTCGCTGAGGAAGGTATTCCGTACCCGCAAGTTCTCTAGATCGTTCAAGGAGGCGCCGGCGGTGGGCGCCGGCGAGGGCGGGGTCGCCGCCGAGGGGGACGACCACGCGCACTGGAATGGTTGGTCCAACATGCTGCCGGAGATCCTCGGCGAGATCGTGCGGCGCGTCGACGCCGCCGAGGAGCAGTGGCCCAACCGCCAGAACGTCGTGTCGTGCGCGTGCGTGTGCAAGCGCTGGCGTGACATCACGCGCGAGGTCGTGCGTGAGCCCTTGCACACCGGGAAAATCACTTTCCCTTCGTGCCTAAAACAGGTTCGAGGTTCTCTCTTCAAAAAACTGGTCCTTTCTTGTCTTTTAATTTCTGGGTAGGAAGCATTTGCTTTTTAATTCCCGAGTTGGGTTTTTGTTTGTGTATCCCGGAATAAAAAGTTGATTGCTTTATGATTTTCTTACTGGTTAATCTCTTTAATTTTATATATATTTTTTAACATTTGTGGGATTAGAATTTGGTTTGTTCATAAGGTGGCTGGGGTCGTTCAATTTTGGGTTGTGAATGCTTTGTTAGTCACTGGTGAATTTGGGAATTTTGTTATAGGGATCGGCACTGATTTGAGAATTTTGTTTGTGTAAGATATGGAAGCACTTGGGTAGTATCTGAGATTAGGATTGTCGCCCTATTGCTGCAAGAGAAACTGCCGTGGGTTTGATTTAAAAGGGTGATGGCGTGTAATTAGGTAATTAATGTTTGCGAGTAAGTGGGTGTCATTAGTTGCAGCTTTATCTTTGTCAAAGTGGAAAAGATGGTAGAATTTGGAATGTGGATCCATTTGGGGGAGAATTTTTCAGATGCGTTTTAGTGGTCATGTTTGCCGTTCAGAAATGGGATGGGTGGGGGAGTTTCATCTAACTTTTAGTAGATAAGAATCATTCATTTGCATAATGTGTTGCAGCACTTTGGTCACTGCCAACATTAAGTATCTGATGTTTTATCTGCAATGCTCTCCTCGGTAAATAATATTAATTTGTGATGTATGTTAAATATTCTTGTAATGATTTCAATGTAATTTCGATGAGCATTTTGTTTTGTTTTGGGATTTATGATATTAATGGTTTATTTTGTATTGAATATTGGAATCTGGGAGGTTTGGAATTTGACAAGTTGTTGATGACCTGCAGCCAGGACCACGTGAGGTTCCCCACCAGTGTCTTATAAAGCGGAACAAAAAGACCTCAACATTTTATCTATATCTTGCCCTAACACCATGTAAGTAAGTATTGCATTGGTAGACAGGTTTATGTTTTGTATGGTTGTTTTAGAGGTAGATGAAAATGAATTATGACTGGACTTGAATGATCTCCGGTACTCTTTGCCTCTTCTTATGGGGTAGAACGTTGACAATATATTGCATAGGCATAGACTAGATCTGTGTACGTGGCACCGTCTTATTATTGGTCAAGCATAAAATGTAGCCTTTCCTATTTGACTAGGCATGCTTTACTTTTGTGCTGCGAAGCCCCACAAGTTTAAATGGCTATGTATTTCGTCAACATTAAAGGTAACTGCTAGTTATGTTTATAAATGTTAATGGAAAATATTTTTCATCCGGACTGAGTCCAAGATGATTAGCTTTAGTCAATTGAGAGGACCTTCCTTGTGCAATGTATTCATCTCATGTAGTTTGACCCAAAACAAGAAATGTGACAGGCAAAAACGAGTTGACTTATTTCAAAAGCGTGCTTTGTATATGAATTGTACTCAGGGATGTTTGTTAGAGATAGGAGGATAAGGATCTATTACTTCTTGTGTGCTTGTTGAAATATAATCTGGGGAAGGTCTATTTTTCACCAAGGGACCTGTAGTAATGAAAGAAAAGTTATTTAAAGCAGCTGGAATACAAATTTTGTTATTGATAGGAACTTGGGTATTATGGAGTGCCTAAGTCCAACATGGAGCGGTATGGGATGCTCGGGGGAGTATTTAAGTTCTTGGTTCTCCCCCCTTAATAGCTAGATTTTGTGGGTGGGTTCACCTAGTGCTTGGGTACTTATTTGTTATGTTCAAAGATAAGATACAAAGTTTTGCACTGAAGCATGGTGTCCAGAGTTGCTTAATTCTTTCAAGTTTCACCTTGGTCCTGGATTAAATTTCTTACTTTTTTCTTAAGAGAAGGAACTTCAAATGATTCTTATTTTGTTAATCTAGTAAATAATTCCTTTCACAATAATATGCAGGTCATGAAATTAACGTTCTTTTTAGTTATTTGTATGTGATATTGCACAAGTAGACCTATGTTGAGAGGTCTACAGGACAATGAGAACATGGTTGATTGAGATACAAGACAACAATTGTTTAGCTTTATGCTCTGCTTTTTTCCTTTCACATCCCGTGTTATATCGTGGTGATACCTTTGTTTGAGCAGTTCTGGGTTGAATTATTGACCAATTACTGCTACCTACTTTATTTACTATAAAAGTGTGTTTGGTGGAGGTGAAATTTGGAAATTTGAATTGGTTGAATGATCTGTGGGATTTTTGAAACGTTAGTAAACAAATAATGTTATGATTTTTTAGGTGTTGTAATAATTCAATGTATTTTGTAGAGTAGTATATTATAGCCATGAGTAGACTTTCAAATGATGATTGTCTGAGGATTATTTTTATCAATACTATAATGACTATAATCTTTATGGTAATGCACTGATTTTGGTTTCTTTTTTAGTTTTCTTTGACATGCTTGAAATTTATGCCTCTTTTTATTCCCTTTTTCTCCTCTACCCATTGCCAGCATTCACAGATAAAGGGAAGTTTCTGCTAGCAGCTAGGAGATATAGGTGTGGTACACATACCGAATACATAATTTCACTCGATGCTGATGATTTATCCCAAGGAAGCAATGCTTATGTTGGAAAGTTAAGGTAATACTTTCTATCGGAAGAAATAAAAAAGTTTATTTATCCTTTGTTTTATAGTTGAATGGTGAAGTCTAGACGCCGAGTATTTGTAAGATGCTGCCATTCTTAGCCTTTATTATTGTTGAAAGTCCCACATCGCCTATCTCATGTCATTTCGTATGGTTTAAATACATGTTAGGCTACTCCACATATTGCCAATTGGTTTTATGTTGGAACCTTAACATGGTATTAAAGCCAAAGTCTAACATCTTTCCGGTTATTGTCATGGGTCAAAAGTTGCCCTTTAGTTGGGTCAAAAGTACCATTTGCCTGATCCGGCAGGCTTCGTTGGAGGGGGTGTGTTGAAAGTCCCACATCACCTACCTTATGTCATTTGGTATGGTTTAAATATATGTTAGGAGAGCCTAACATCTTTCCGGTTATTGTTATGGGCCAAAAGTTGCCCTTTAGTTGGGTCAAAAGTACTCTTTGCCTGGTCCGGCAGACTTCGTTGGAAGGGGTGTGTTGAAAGTCTCACATCGTCTACCTCATGTTGGTATGGTTTAAATACATATTAGGTTATTCCACATATTGTCAATTTGTTTTATGTTGAAATCTTAACAATTATGAACATATACATTTATTGTTTTCAAAATACTTAGCTTAGAACTACATGTGCTGTGAAATTTACTATTTCTATATTTTTTCTTATGTTATTTAGTTTGTGAGGACTAGAATTTGTTTCTGGCTCAATCACGAAACTGTTAAATGAGTTACTGTTCATATGTACTTCTATTTACCAAGCTGTGTCTAAAAGTATTAAAAAGCAAGTTAACAAATGAACTTTCCTTTTTTGCCTTTGTTTTATATGATTGATCAATTATTTTGATGCTTCTCTAGTTTATCTTCCAATGACAACTTGTTACTGGACTCTTTTCACAGTTCGGATTTTCTTGGAACCAACTTCACAATTTATGACAGCCAGCCACCCCATAGTGGTGCAAAACCATCAAGTGGCAGGGCGAGTCGACGGTTTGCCAGTAAGCAGATAAGCCCGCAAGTTCCTGCTGGTAACTTTGAGGTGGGGCAGGTCTCCTACAAGTTCAACCTGTTGAAATCAAGAGGGCCAAGGAGAATGGTTTGCTCATTGAAGTGTCCAATGACTCCTGTCGCATCAACAGGTGAAAGTTCAGATAGCCCATCTCTTGATGACCATAAGATGATTGATAAAGAACAAGCTGCTTCTGGCTGCACAATCTTGAAGAATAAAGCTCCAAGGTGGCATGAGCATTTGCAATGCTGGTGTTTGAATTTCCATGGTCGTGTGACAGTGGCCTCAGTGAAGAACTTTCAGCTGGTTGCAACAGTGGACCAAAGCCAACCAGGAGGTAAAGGAGATGAGGAAACAGTTCTCCTCCAATTTGGTAAAGTAGGGGATGATACTTTCACCATGGATTATAGACAGCCCTTATCTGCTTTCCAGGCTTTTGCCATTTGCTTAACTAGCTTTGGCACTAAACTTGCTTGTGAGTAATATAATTTTGGTGTCACTGCATATTTATTCCGTGGAAATGGTTGTTTTAAGTGAATAGTTATTTTTTACTTGGCTTTTGAGTCTACAAATTTGATTGCAGGAAGCTTGTTGTTGTAAATGTTATATCATCAATAGGACATGACATCTTCCATAATCAAATATATTACCCTATTCACGCCGATGGTCCATATATTTTATTATAATTCACGTTATTGTACACATGTTATGGCACTTTTCCAAGTTCAGTTTCATTTGCTTACCCAAGGACCACGCACTAAGCTTGTGATTTTTTTTTTCTGGTAAAACAAATCAGACTAAAGGGAGTGACATCAAATATTTTATTTCTATTGTTGACATATACACGTCACACCAATGAAATACACGTTCTATTAATCATCAAGCTGTCTTTCTTCTTGGCATCCGGTACCTTGTGCATAGTTGTGGATTATTCTGGACCAGCCATAAAGTTGAGTAGCATGTGGATCGTGCTAGATGGAAAAGATGTTTCATTTGAGCCTATATAACTAACTCTTCAGGATAAACTAGTAAATTAATAAGTTATTTTATCAGTTAATTGTGGAAACATATGCGTTTTTATAAAAGGAAACATCTTACACTGAGAGTAAAATGCTATATTAGGAGAGGTAGTTTGTCAATGAAATATAAATAAAATTATAATCTTTAATTCATTGTGTGAAAATTTTCAAGCTTAGTGCTATTCATTAAACTATATTCAAGTACTTATAATGTGTTGGTACATTCTACTTTGCGTAGGAGATATTTAAAAAGAAAAAAAAATCTTGAGTTGAACCAAAACACTGTATACAACATGGTTTACCTTTGTGCAGAAAATTCTCATGATTGAAGCTGAAGCAACATCATCTGCTTCGTGAATGACAGTGGATGATGGGTTGGTTTTGGCATAAATGTGTGTGAATTGTCCATGTACTTTTATTCTCTTCTAGTAACCTTTTTTCGGATTGGGGCCTTTCCCTTGCTTAAGTGAAAAGTAATTGTAAGGTCAGGTCCCACCATTTAAATGGGAAGGTGATTCCAATTAATGAACAAAATCCATTGAGCAAAATATCTGACAAAAGAGAAAGAAAAAGAGTGACATTTTGAAACAAATATTTTGTCGGATTCAATTTCTTAGGTAGCAACTCGCATATTAGCTGTCTTCTGATTTGATTGCAAGATGATTTTATCACTGGAATGGTTGGTGAATGCTTACCTTATTTCATTAGGTAGTTCATCTTTTGTCATTAATTATTATTTATCATCACATAATGTTCTATCATTTCCAATCATGCTCACTCCAAATCCGTATCTATATTCATACACCATTTAATGAAATTTTAATAAACAGATTATATTAATGTTTTAGACAGAGATTTATTTAACAATAGGGCAAGAGCAGCTCCAAAAATTTGCCACGATTATTTTTTTTTAATATATTAGGTTAAAAAGAAAAAGAAAATCTTATGTTTATCTTTTTTTCTTGATCTTTACGAGTAAAAATGTCTGGTTAGCACATTTTCTGAATTCATAATTTGGTTTGCGAACTTGGTAGATTAAATTCTACGTTTCTTGTCACATCGTTTACTGTTAACATTTACGGTTGTGTGATGGTCAAGGTTTCATATTTCTGTGTCAAATCGCAATTCAAATGATTATCCTTAATTAGCAGGTGTGTATGTTTTCATGAAATAATAATAATAGTGAATTCTTTTCTAAATTGAACCAGTCCACTCTTGCTACAATGTCTTCATTGGTTAATGACTAATAAATTTACCTTTCTTTCATAAAAAAAAAATTCAAAATATTATTTGAAATTCACCCTTTCAAATTAAGTTAAAAATCAACAGGGTACACATTACAGATTACCCAATCAAATGTCTGATAATAGTTTGGTTCAATCTTCTCTCTGCAATCAACACAAGATTTATTTATTATAAGCTTTTGTTTTTGCCAAATTTAGTTCCAAAGCCTTTTGAATTTTGACTCAAGATTCAATCCTTAAGGACATCACATGGTTGAACAAACTTAATTTTAAGGGAAAAAAAGGCCATCACAAAGTTCATATGTTTAGATATCAAATAAAATGGTACCAGAAAATTCTTTCAGAAAGCAAGGAATTAGGTGCTGGTGACTTGAAACCATAATTTTGCATAGCTGCATGTTATAGAACTGCAATTAAATTGTAAATCTTGAGGCATCATTATTCCACAGTTTCCATTCTCTGTTTGCCCAAAGCTTACTTACTTTGATAGCCTATAGATACCTGATTAAGAAATTAAACTTTTTTTATTAGCCAATCAAAAAGGAAAAATATTAGCCAAATTTTTAATATGCTTTTATATTATTTCCAATAAAAAAATTTATTCTTTTGATTTATCTGTGTCCTTACTCAGGACTAGATAGCAACCCTGTTATAAAAACTACTTGTTCGCGTAAATAGCAATTTTAGTACCATATTTTTATTTGTTAAACACTTTTATACTAGTAATCGAATTCATCATTTATATTTTAGTTAACTCGAATATTCTATCCTATAATAAATTGGTAAAATATTATATTTACTATGCTATTAACATTGAATTTGAAAAAAATAAAATATAATACGTAAAAAAAAAATTATCATTAGACATTTCAAAATATTTAATAAAAAAAAATCAATTCTGAAATTGGATCTGAATATTATTCCTTCAATCCGGTCATAACTGCAATGCGGGCCATGTTGAATTTTATACTGGCCCTTTTTGTTTGGCCCAAAGAAAAATCTGAAAAAAAAAAAATCATCTGGGGTTTTTGGGAATCTCCCGTTAGAAATGAAGATGGAGGAAAGTTCGTTATTTTCTGCGAGAGAAAGGTGCTGTAAGTTATATAACCTTTGTATCGTCAAAATTTAAACTTTGTTGTACGTGTTTTCTGTTAGAGAAGGAGGTGAGGCACGATGTCCAAGTCTTGCAAAGGTTTGGCCGCTGAGCTAGTCAAGTGTCTCGGTGAATCTGATTGTATTAAGGTTCGGTTTTGATGATTTGTATGGCTTTGTTGGATTTAAAAAATATTATGTGATTTGTGCAGTAATGATTGATGTTGAATGTTGTGATGATGAATGGGCGTGTGTGTGTATTGGCGAATAGGTTGAGAAGCGATCATATAGGGAATGTGTTGGAGAGAAGAGTCCATGTATACCCAGTGAATGTGTGGGACTCAGGGAAACCTATTTCAATTGCAAAAGAGGCCAGGCAAGTATTTACCTTTTGTTCTGATCACTGCTATGACATATTGATTTCAAATGCATACAGAAACCAATTTTTTGTTTTTCTTTTGGGATGTTTACTTTTTAAGCAATTGTTTTGCTACTATTGCTAAAGGTTATTTTAAGCTTGAAGCTATGAATTAAAGTTGATAAAATTTGAAATTATTGGTGAATAGTTCATGATTGGGTGTTGCCATGGTTTTCAATTGCTGTCATGGTTTCGGTTTCTTCACTATCCATGATATTGCTGATAATTGCAAACAAATGTTGTCACATTTGCAGTCATGGGAACCCCAAAACCTTTTATGTTTCGGACTGATAATTAAGCTCTAGGTGTTGCTATGATCATCTTTTAAGCAGATGTTTTTCTGTGGGCAAATGCGTGTGATGTAGTTTACAAGTAAATTGAGTTAAAAAAATATTGAATGAAGAGATGTCAGTAGCTGGCATGTGGTTACAAGTATGGAATTGGAAAGTGGGGGAAGGAAGGTGAATCAAGGCCCCATGGCTTTTTGGAAAATATTATTCAGAGTGATAGGATTGAGATATTATGTGGGTTTAATAGGCAGAATGAATTAAAATCAAAATAGCATTACATTACACTTGTTAGAACCTGCATTTACTTTTATAACTGAAGAATGATAGTTTTTCTCTCAGGTGGGCAGGTGAATTTACTGAAATCCTCTTCATAACTAGTTGCTATATTCATGTTGATGATGTTCCCTGAAGTAACAAAGTTTTTAGTTGTTGTGAGAATGTCGCTTTTTACTTGACTGTGTTAGTGTTGACATGGTTTCATGGTTTAGCTGGCAATACCAGTTTATTGGATACGGTCTATCTAGTGTCTTTTTATGATCTCTTGCATGACCCCATCGACAATCTTGTAATGTGAACATATTCTTTATGATGCTTGTGATCTTAAAACATTATTACCTCTGTGATTGTACTTGGTTGGTGTTGATTTTTGAAACTAATAATGAGTAACAAATGACCAGGTATTATTCTATTTGACAAGGAATTCAACAAAGTTGTTCTTAACAAACAACAGTTGTATTTGTTAGTAGTAACGCTCACATGCTTTAATGTAATTATGTGTTTATTAAGGCCTCCATGGTCTCTATACTTCTAATAAAATTTGTTTGCAATAAGTCATAACAATCAACTCATATATGTTTAACGGTTCATTTGGCCATCTTCATTGCAAATGATGTAAGTAGTAAAGCTGGGAGAACCAGCGATAAAAATGTATATAGTGGACTAAGATAATGATGAATAATTTTATGTTCATGTGAGTATGATATTAAAAATTAAACAGCTATTGTTTTGCCACTCTTTATCAGGTTGACATGAGAACTAGGATTCGTGGAAACAAGGGCTATTAATGATCCAATCATCCATTGGAAAACTCTAGTTGTTCTGTCCAGTTCAGTTTGTTTCAGTTTTTAGCTCAAGATGAAGTCAACACGAGTAAAAGATGAAGGTGAATCACAGATTGAGGGCCTTATTGATTGTTTGATTTAATGACATTGTAGCTACAGATGCACATGACAAGAATTTTGGTTTTACAGAGATCATTACTATAAACTCTATCTAGTATTAACATAGTAGTACACTCTTGAGTGATAGTTTCGCCTTCCTCCTGTGATAGTTCCTCAAAGGGTTAGACTTGTAGGATTCTCAGGTGGCATCTGGATTCTCAGCATTCACCAGGTCAGAAATTCAGATCTGTCTGATGAAGATCTGTCTGCTCATATTTCATTTTGGTCAAACAACATGAAACACATGCAAGGTTTCTGGCATCCAATTTTCATTCAATGCTTGTGAATATATTGAATGTGTGAAAATATGGCTGCACTGAATCCTTTTGATGCTCAAGTGATAGTTTCAACATTTGTTTGTCATAATTCATGCATCTTTACTTTTTATACACAGTGCGGTCCCTCTTCTTTACTCCTGAAAAAGACTGATAAATTCTTTTGGGCGATAAAAATGAATTCACAATTTATGTTATTCTTACACTGCTTAGAAACTTCTGATATATTCAAAATAATTAATTTTATACTTGAATTCTATGATACATGTCGATAGTTATGCATTAAGATTTAGGAAAAGTTAATTCTAAAATGGAGACTAATTTTTCTTGATTGACATTAATAATGGATATATTATAGTAAGTTTAAGCTTGAATTTTGAAAAAGGAAAGAAAAAAATGTCACTAATAATGGTTTATTTTATGATATAAGATCATTATTTAATGGTCTCTAGATTTATCTGCCATTATCCACGTAGTAAGTAATTAAACTTTGGTGTAGATATGATTTTTAAATTTAGATATGATTTACTATTATGAAAGCGCTTTAAAGCCATTAAGAAGCAATAAATTGAAAGTCATTTAAGCATTTTGTTTTGAAAACCTAGAGAAAAACTGTTGCTTTGGAGATATAAATAAAAATTCTTTTATACCAAAACTTGCTATAAGGAAAATGAAATAAAATTCACAATTTATTTTTAATGATGAAACTTGGTGTATAGGTCGTATTAACCTATAATAGGATGATAAAAGACATTAAAAATCTTTACACTTAAGAAATACTTTTATTAATTATTCATAAGCTTACGGCCATGTACTTCAATTTAGTACTTCAATTTAATAATGAAAGAGAGATGTTATATAAATGTTTTAGGATAAAAGTTAATATTTTATAATACGATGTATTATAGTTATATTTAACTTTTCACTACATGTTTCTTATTTTTCTAAGAAATTATATTCTTTTTAATAATATATCCTTTAATAAATTTCTTTTGGATCCACAACTATCATCTTATTTCTAATTTGTCAAACTTGTATTCCTTTAAAAATTAAGAGCATCTTTTCTTTGTAACACGATAATGTTGTACTTTATTATGTCACTTAAATACTAAGAAAATACTTTAGATAATTAAAATCTTTAGTATAAAAGTGATCAAATAGATATTTATTTAACCGAGTAATCTTAGTAAATCTGAAATTAAACTATAAAATAAAAATCTTGAAATATGACAATAAAACACTAAATGATCTATTTTATTTTATTTTAAGCATAAAATTTGCACAATTTGAATATATCAAACCAAATCTAGTGTGATTGTTTCAAACTATAATAAAATCGATATAGTTTCCACACTAAACTAAACTCTCTCTCCTCCTCTCAAGGTTACTAAGAAAATATTTTAGATAATTAAAATCTCTGGTCCGAAAGTGACTAAATACATATTTCTTTAATTGAGTAATCTTAGTAAATTTAAGTGTAATCCTTAGCTATTAAGTGAGTTTTGAGATGATCCACTTTACCATTAAAACCAACTTTAACTACATAAACCCATTTACAATATATAGGTCTTATTATGTTTAAGAGCGTACATCTCATCAATAATGACTTATTAGGATTTAAGGTGATCAAGTGTCTCATAAACATTAATAGGAATAAAAGTGATGGACAAAAAGAATAATAAAATAATACGAAGGAGATATACTATGACAACTTAAAAAATGATAGGAAAAGTAATATGAGTAAAGTGATTACCAACCAAAATCAAGAGTGGAGGATAGAAATAAAAGATCTATGATATGAGAATCTAGTGGAAGAGAATCACGAAGGTCTTCTACAATAGATAAAGGAGTAGGATTTTTCATGGAGAATGAAAAGAAAGGCGTGTACTCGTAGAATGTAACCTTTTAACTTCTTTCACAACAATTCTAATTTTGAGTTCCTTAAAAGTGTTAACCATTATAAATCTTTTAACATTTTTCATGACAACTCTAACATGAGGGACTCATTATTATGACATTAATATGTTCGAGGGAAATGACTCTTATGAGTTGTACTAAAAAAACATTGAATATCATTTACAAAATATTTTAGTACATGATAACATTTCTAGAACAAAATATCATATTTATATATGAGAGAAAATATAAAAAGAGATTGAGTTTCTTATCAAATCTAAATACATATATTAAAAATTAAAATAGAATATATTTTAACATAAACTAATAATTAAAGGGTTGTAAAATAATCATGAGTTTTAAATCTTTTAAGATTTTAGGTCTACCATATTTCAAGCCTGTTTCTTTATATAATATTAACATTGAAGTAAAATTTCAAACTAGCCCGATATATCCTAGATTTTGTCTTTTTTTTTTTTTTTTTTTTTTTTTTTTTTCCATTTAGCAGCATTAACTTAATATGACGTTTGACATTTTTTTAATGTGGAGATTAATTTTATAATAAATTAGCAATAACGAAATGACAACATTAATTAAGAAAAATTCTATTAAATCTAAATAATGAACAACAAAACGCTAAATTAAATTAATAATAACAATAATAAAAACACAATCCTTAGCTTTTCTCTCTTTCTAACAATCTTGAGTCAAAAAAGAAAATTCCCTGTCTCAGAAAGAGGGCATAGGAACCTCTCTCAATCTGGGAAAAAAATGTATAAGCGTTTCAAAATTTCACTTCTTGGTAACAAGATTGACCCATTGTAATTTTATTTGAAAATCATTTTCTAAACTATTCAAGACACATAAATAAGATGATGGCTACTTGGGGCATGGTCAAATTTGATAAATCATTCATTATATTTACTCAAGTCCTAATTATGGGGACATATTAGAAATTAAAAGTGTGCCTTTCAATGAAAAGTATTTAGGACTCTTTTAAGAATTAAAACAATTCTTTTCAATTAACAATGAAAAGAGTTTACCAAAGAAAGACTCTTTAAGAATGCAAATTAGGGAAGAAATGCTCAAAATAGATAAGAAAAGCTAGCCTATTAGACACAATTTAAAATTTTCAATGCATTTCAGCCAATAATAAAAGTATATTGAAACGAATTTAAGTTCAAACAAACAGGCCTAAGTTTATAATTGCTTTTCATAATTCTCAAAACAGTTTAGACACGACATAAACCATTGCAATTATCTATATTCTCGAGACAATTGCATTCAAAACAAAAACATATCATTCTTGCAAGTTAGCATCATATTTTTAGAGTGAGACCTGCAGTTGAAGGATTTACAAAACTATCCGCAAGTGCAGGGGAAATTCATTAGAGAGAAGTCAAAAACTTGTCACAAGGCACATCATCAAGAAGTTACTCAGGCCTCCCAACAAACCATGTTAACAAAGTGCTATTCACATTACCTATACTTTCATGAAGAGAATCCTAATCATCAATACGATTATCAGTAGAATTATCAGGTTCAGCCTGTGAAAAACAACTTCCACCTAGTCAGTATATATTTAAAGAAAATAAAATATCAAACCAAATAACACAGGGCAGATAAAATTTCACTTATGATACTCACATTTGAATCATCAATACATCCCACAGCAGGTTTTTTGGGTTCAACCTGTAAAAATAAACTCAGCCTAGTAAGCATTCACAATGTATTTATAGACTCAAAATAGAGAATACAGATATAACAGTAAGGATTTCTTACCAAAAGCTTCTTTGGGGTGGAATCCAAATCCTTTAACACAATAGCTGGCAATTGATCAATGTCCCAACCAACAACTTTGCAGATGACCTGTGCATAGGCCCTGTGAGCTCGCTTCCTTTTTGTTCTAAGTATGGAAGTGGAGTGCTGAATCAGTGCAATGCTATCCTTGAACCTCTTCCATACCTTCTTCCTTATACCTCCACAAACCAAACAATAAAAATCTCCATCCCTATGATTGTTCTCATAATATTTTCTCAAGTCATAATCTTCTTCAAACACCTTTTCAAAGAACTTATACTCCTTACATTCTTTAGAGTCATGATTATCTACCAACTCATCTTCTTCCTCCTCCTCTTCCTCATTTTCACTATCAGAGCTTATATCATGTTTGCCATCTTCATCACCGTCAGAACCAGTATCACCAACTAAGAACTTCTGGCAAGATTCTAATGCTTTGTGCTGCAATTGCAGCACTTCTGCAGTAGCTTGCTCTTCTGCTGATAGAGAATAAGTGAGAGAAGATGATTTGATGTCCTTAAAGGAAGGCCATCCTGAAGCTGTAGAAGAGAAAGTAGCATTGGGGTTTTCAGATACCCATCTAGCATCAGCAACCAGAGATTCATGTGATTCCTACAATCAATTTTCATTAGTAACAACCAGTAGGAAGTAAACAAACGTGGGAGTTGGGATTTGCTAGCATCCAATACTAGTATTTTTTTTGCTAGTCTGATTATCACAAATTGAAGCACAGCCTACCACAGGTAGCTATATTAGCGAATAAATAGGTAGCTGTTTGTATTTGCTCTTGTAATGTGTTTAATGCGCAAGGTCAATTAAAAATCGCACTGTGTGTATAATAATATAGTGAATGGTAAAATTAACATCAACTTTTGAAGGAGCACCAAGTTACATCTTTGCCTCAGGGATCAATGTACTTCTATGTATTTGGGTAATTATTTATCTACTATTACATAAATGATTTTATAGTTTCAACCTAAAGAAGAAAGAGCTTATGCTTTACATAGATTATCTTATCAAACACAAATTTATTCTCAAAATATATAAATTAGCTTACAGTATTAAAGTAGCAATTTTTCCCCAAATAACATGATAACCATGAATATAACCTATAGAAAGATACACATAGTAGGAATTCAAAATGGAGAAAAGCAAAAAGAGTAAAGGTGCATGCTTCTATTTAGCATTCAAAATTAGAGATATACTGCAGTTGTCTCACCTTAACTATTTCTCCTCCATTTTCTGAACTCGGTTCTGAGACCTTTCCATCTAGATTATCACCTTCCTTCTCAAAACCCTGCAGAAAGAGCATTTGCATCATCCGCACCATGCCAAAATAATTTAGCCTATTCACATCACTATGAACTCAACAAGTTGATACGCAAGAATAATTAACCTTGCTAACATTCTAACGAAACCATTTTACAAGTTCCCTTGGATCAACAAGTTTATAAGCACCTTTCATACCATTTGCCTCATATTTCAAATTTAAAAAGCCATGCAAAAGCAACATATGCAATCACAAAAATAGGCAACAAATACTTTATTTGAACTCAAAAGCATTACGCAGGATTTTTGGGTTCAACCTGTAAAAAATTATTCCGCCTAGCAACCATTAACAATGTAGTTAAACACTCAATAAAATATACAGATATATTAATTAGGAATGCTCACCAAAAGCTTCCTTGAACCTTCCAAGGAGGAATCCAAATCCTTCAACACAATTGCTGGCAATTGATCAATGTTGCAACCAACAACTTTGCTGATCACCAGTGCATAGGCCCTGTGAGCTCGTTTCCTTGTTGTCCTTAGTATGGAAGTGGAGTGATGAATTAGTGCATTACAGTCCTTAAACCTCTTCCATACCTTCTTCCCTATACCTCCACAAACCAAACAATAGAAATCTCCTTCCCTATGATTGTTCTCATAATAACTCCTCAACTCACCATCTTCTGCAAACACTTTTTCAAAGAACTTATACTCCTCACATTCTTTAGGATCAAAATTATCTATCAACTCGTCTTCATCTTCGTTATTGTCATCACCTTCGTCACCATCAGAACCAGCATTCCCAGCTAAGAATTTCTGACAAGCTTCTAATGCTTTGTGCTGTAATTGCAACACTGCCACAGTTGCTTGCTCTTTTGCTGATAGAGAATGAGTGAGAGAAGATGATTTGATGTCATCAAAGGGAGGCCATCCAGAAGATGAAGCAGAGATGCCAGCTTTGGGGATGATTTTACATTCCCATTCAACATCAGTAACCAGAGATTCATGAGATGCCTACAATTAATTTTAATTAGAAAGTAATATCTAACAAGATATAAACATATGCGGGAGTTGGGATATGCTAGCACCCAGTATTAGAATTCCTTTGCTACTCCAACTTCCACAAAATTGAACGAAGTGCAGCCTAACACAGATAGCGATGGTAGCCATGTAGGAATGACTTTCATCGTTTTAAATTCTAAAAAGCTACCCCTTAAAAGCTAGTTCGTAATATATAATTTAGTAATGCATTTATGAGCATAGTCAAGAAATTTTCTCACTATGTGTATAGAAGTATATGGTAAGGTTATAAAGGAAAACACCAAGTTACATTGCTTGTAGCTTTGCCACAGGGTGCCAATCCACAACTGCAAATCTGGTAACTATTTCTCCAGTATTCCATAAACGCAGTTATAATTTCAACCCGGAGAAGAAAGACCTTAGATTTTATATAGATTATCATATTACAAAAATTTATCATTAAAATAATTAAATAGCTGACAGAATACATGAGATGAATTCAAACAAAACGAAAAAAAAGTAAAGCTGCATGCTTTTACTCAGCATTCATAATCCGCAACCACAGTTTCTCACCTTAACTACTTCTCCCCCATTTCCTAAACTCAGTTCGGGGACCACTTCATCTGGATTCTCATCTTTCTTCACCAACGTCTGCAGAAAGAGAGTGAGCATCAGAACAATGGCAAAACATTTTAACATCTCCCCATAATTCTGTACCCATAATTTCTTTCATACATTATTTCTCCCTCCCTTTAAAAAGGGGTTTGATACATAAAAAAAAAAAAAAACACTTAACCTAGCTAAGATTCTGATGAGACCCATTTCAACCCTTTTACATGATCATCAAACTTAACAAGCTTATACGCAACTTTTTTAACATTACCATTGTCATTAAAAGTTAAAACCCCACAAAGCCAACTTATGCAATCACAAAATATGCAACAAACATGCTTTAATTAAACTTAAAAGCTGCATCATTTACCTCTGGGTCAGTTTGTTCCATTCGCACAGAACAGAAAATTGGCGAGGCAGTGTTAGAGACAGTGAGAGTGAAACAATTGTATACACTCTTTCTTGTAATAAAATACAAAATACAGTCTTTCTTCTGTCTCGAGAACTTGGGCCTTGGCCTAAGATACAGAGGCCCATTGGCCCATCCATGCTCCACTTATCTTTTACATTTTGTTTCATTAAATAATTAAATTAGTACTAGTATTCAACAAAAATACAACATATGCCGTGTTAATATTTAAGATATATAACGTTTCACTTCAACAAAAATCTATAATGATTTACTTGAATATTTTGATTTAAGCGTGATTTAGTTATTTATGTATTGTAGCAAGGTGACTTTTAGTTGTACAAGTTTGGATAATTTTTTGTTTAATTATGTAAATTTAATATCTCTTAATTTTTACTTAAAAGTTTAATGATATTTTCTTATTTGATATAATCAAATGGTAGAAAAATATATTAAATTAACAGTTTATGTAATTTAATAAAAATACATAAAGTAGATGTTGATGTGTATATATAACATGATAATGATAAATGATATGATGTAAACAAACGGAAGTTTCATGTTTTCTTTAAAAATATTATTAATATCTCTATTATTTTAGTTACTTATTATACATGTGAATAACAGTCAAAATAAATCTTCCAAAGTATAAAGTATGTTTTAAAAAGTAAATTAGAACTTTAAAAAAGTATAAGGCTAATTACTTAGAGTTAATAATAATTTTTAAAAATTATTAAAACAAAACATTACAATTTTTATCACATTATTTCATTTAACTGAAGGATAATATAATTTGGGTGATAGTAACTAAAGCGATTTGACAACAAAAATAAATATTAAATATTTCATTAAACAGAATTTGTTATACATGAAAGATGACCTTTTTTTTTTTTTTTTTTTAATTTCAACTTATATGAACCATACACAATGCATGCGTTATGAATGAATAATAGAAGAAATGTGCGTTGGCGCGTGACTCTCACTCTGGTTTCTGTGTCCCCACCGGAGAAGAAGAGAAGCTGAGAGATAAGGAAACGAAACTCAGCAAAACAACTACCAAAGGAGTCGTGTTTCTTCTCTTCCAATGACTACTTCCATTAACAGGTTTTCCCATATCTCTCTCACGCTGTTTTTCGTGAAATTCAATTTAACTCGTGAATTTCTCGTTTGAAGCAGTGTTCTGGGGTGGAAATATTCTTCCTTTTTCTCACAATCTAATGCATTCAACGTGGTTTCCCCTTCTTTCAAACCAAAATCCCCACTCTCCAAGTTTTCTCTCACTTGCTCTGCCGCCTCCTCTTCCTCTGGTACCTTCCATTTCTCCCTTCCCTTTGTCTTTTTAACTTAAATCAGGAACTGGGTACATTTCTTTTTTGTTAATTGTGCTCAATTTTAGTCGGGGATTTTGGGTGGTTGTTTCGAAGGGGAAATGTAGTTGGTTTATCTATACGTGTTACACTGCAAAATTCCATTATTTAGATGCTGGTCGTTAGCACTTTCCATTGTGTGATGCTAGGAAAGTGTAATTCGAATATCAGATTAATTATTTGTTGGGGTTGTTGAATTTGACTGAAGAAGAGACGAGGAAAAGAAAATATGTTTTTTGAAGGATAAAGTTAGCTGCCATTTGTACCTGGGGTTTTAAATTATGGTAGACTGTTTCAGTAGTTGTTTTTTTGGCTATCCTTGATATTGTAGAAAATTGAGGAAATGCAGTTGATGTGGTTTCAATTGCAGCCGCCGATACCCCCAAAACCTTGATATTGCAATCCAATTGAGTTTGCAAACTGTTTTTTATAACCTTGTTTGTGTCTAGGGGCTGTGTAACTTAGTTTCACGAATTTGCAAATTCTTCAAAGGGGAGGAGGAACTTGTATCATTCAAACAATCCTGTTGAAGAGAGTGCTATGACTTATGAGCATCTATCCTGCCTTTGATTTTTTTGTCTCGTGATAGACACGTCCCTGCAAACATGCAGAAATCAATTTGGATGATTTTTTATTTTCTATTTTATTTAGATCCACTCTTGGTCAAGGCTGCCAGGGGAGATCCTGTTGGTCGTCCTCCGGCATGGATGATGCGACAGGCAGGAAGGTACATGGCTGTTTACAAAAAGCTTGCTGAGAAATATCCATCCTTCAGAGAGAGGTCAGAGACAACTGATCTCATTGTGGAAATTTCTTTGCAGCCTTGGAAAGCTTTCAGGCCTGATGGGGTCATTATCTTCTCCGACATCCTTACACCACTTCCTGCATTTGGAGTTGATTTTGACATAGAAGACATAAGGGGACCTGTTATACATTCACCAATTCGTTCTGAGGAGGGATTGAAAACTTTGCATCCAATTGACCTTGACAAGCTTAGATTTGTTGGAGAATCACTTAAGATACTGCGCCAAGAGGTAAAATTTAATTGTATCACCTCATTCATGTCATGACCATCCTGCTAATCATGTTTCCCCTATTGATTCTGTTTTATTTAGGTTGGTGGTCATGCAGCTGTTTTGGGTTTTGTGGGAGCACCTTGGACAATAGCAACGTATATTGTGGAAGGGGGTACAACACGCACATATACAACCATTAAGAGCATGTGCCACACTGCTCCACATGTATTGAGGACTTTGCTTTCTCATTTGACGCAGGCAATAGCTGATTATGTTATTTTCCAAGTGGAGTCTGGGGCTCACTGCATACAAATATTTGATTCATGGGGTGGACAACTACCACCTGACATGTGGGAGCGCTGGTCAAAGCCTTATATCAAAGAGGTAACCGGGAAAAATATCTTCATTTCTTTCTTGCTTGATGAAATTGTATTTTAAATTTCAAAACTTTTCAATTTGGGAATCTTTCTATACTAAGCCTCCATTTATGTTTTAACTTATAACAGCTTTGACTTTAACCTAGTTGGAGAAAGGAAAACAATATGTAGCTTGCTGAGGTTTGCAACATAATTAGCAGATTTTATGGCAGGCTAAAGTTATACTGCTCCAAGCCTCCTTGATTTTTCTTGGTTGGCTGACTTGGTAGAAATATGTTCACACTTAAACCTCTTGATTGTAAGTTTTCTGGGTAGCAAAAAAGAAAAAAAACTTGTAACGTGTCTGAGAATAAGCTCAATGGATTTTGTTAGATATGATTAGATATTAGTTGATATTGTTTGATATTGTTGAGATATTGTTAGATATTGTTAATCACAATATCAAATAATATCTTTTTATTTACTCTATTTGTATTCTGTTACTCTTTTGAGGAGTACCTTTCTTTATTATAAATACACTGCCCTATGTGTGGTAAATACATAAGGGAAATTAACCCTATACAGTTTTTCCCTATATTTAACATGGTATCAGAGCCAAAGCCTAACATCTTTCCGGTTATTGTCATGGGCCAAAAGTTGCCCTTTAGTTGGGTCAAAAGTACCCTTTGCCTGGTCCGGCAGGCTTCGTTGGAGGGGGTGTGTTGAAAGTCCTACATCGCCTACCTCATGTCATTTGGTATGGTTTAAATACATGTTAGGCTACTCCACATATTGCCAATTGGTTTTATGTTGGAACCTTAACAGATTTCAATATTATGCTGTTGACTTTGGGAGAGAAAAATCCCAATTAGAGGATGCAACTTTACTTTTTTATTTTTAATATTTATTTGAGATTACTTTTTCTGTCAGTATCCTTTTACAATACATAAACTTCAGGTTGGATACTATATTACCTTTCTCCCTTTTTTCGCTTGGTCATGTACTGCTTTCTGAATTTCCAGATTGTAAATTTGGTCAAGAAAAAATGCCGTGAGGTACCAATTGTTCTTTATATAAATGGAAATGGTGGCCTTCTGGAGCGTATGAAAGAAACTGGAGTTGATGTTATAGGGCTAGATTGGACAGTGGATATGGCAGATGGAAGAAGAAGATTGGGTAGTGAGATAGGTGTGCAGGGAAATGTGGACCCTGCCTACTTATTTTCCCCTCTTGCTGCCCTGACTGAAGAAATTCAGAGGTTTGTGACATAATTTCCGGTGTTTTGGTATGGAGTAATTCTAGATGCTCTTTTGCGTATGTGATATGACTAGGCATAACCATTACTTGTCCATAGAAGCATCGTTTACTCTAACTTTAAGTTTACATGTAGTCATTCAATTTTGTCCTTGTTGTTACAAGCAAATGTCTAGGTTGCATATTTTCTGTTCATGATCCGGTGTCTGTGATGTGGACTTGAACCACCCCTGATATTTGCTTATTTAACCATGGCGGAATTGAGAATAATTAAACAGCAGCAACTAACAAAGAAGCATAAGAAAAATATGGTTTACAATTGTAGTCATGTTATTGATCTTATGGTTTTAAAATAATGAAGTAGTTCAATTGGACTTGGTAACTGAAGCTGATGTCAGTTTTGTAAAACTGAACCCATTCATAGTGATAACTGAGAATGGAGAAATGAGTAGTAGTATCAATGAATTAATTATGTTGACTTCTTAATATGATAATTATTTTTCAGGGTTGTGAGGTGTGCAGGGCCCAGACGGCACATCCTTAATCTAGGGCATGGTGTTCTTGTTGGCACACCAGAAGAAGCTGTTTCACATTTCTTTGAAGTAGCTAGGAGCTTGCAGTTTGACACAATTTTTCAGAACAATACTGCAAAAGACCCTAATCTAGTAACATAAGAACAATGCCATGAGTGTTGCTACTTGTTTTACATTGTATTGGACGCCCTTAGGGTGTAGGCATAGTCCTTCCTTTTCCTTATGCTGCTATGAGATGATTAAAAATCTGAGGATTTGCACATTTCTGTACCGGCTAATTAGATGAAGTTGTAATTTTACATTCTAATGTATTTATAATTGATTTGATAAATTAATTTAAGTATTCCTTCCAACTGCTAAATTGGTAAAATCCTATATAAAATTTAAGTTGCTTCTTTTAATTAAAAATGTCAAAAAAGTTATATTATATTATATAAGTTTTTTTTTTAATTTGCAAAAGAATAAAAATCTAAAAATGATTTTTTTTTGTTTCAATTATATATATATATATATATATTAAATGTTACGAAATTTCCCAAACATGCTTAATTAAAAATTACAGCTGAAGTTGAATGTTAGCGATATCTTTGAGTATAGAATAAATAATGTTAGAAGAGAAATATTCACTTTGTGTGTTCAAAATTCTAGACGGTGCTAGTAATTATTTTTACAATGAATAATTTATATCACTATCATGATTAAAAAAATGAAATTAAAGTCAATTTGATTGGTTTCAAAGAAATTGGAACAACAATTTTCTTAAATAATAAAAAATAAAAAACAACCGAAAAGGTATAAAATCCATTATTTTAGTTTTATTTTTTGGATTTAACTAGGGGAAGGGTGCATAGAAGAGTTAGCTCATTATGTTAAGGTCTGTTATGAGCTTTTTCTTAAAGGTACATGCACATCCAAGGGTAGTAACTTCAAGCACACAAGTAAAGTGTTACTGCATGAACACAGAAATGGTTGTTGCCTTAATGCTTTCGAGCCTCGTTTACTGTCTTGAGAGCCTTGTCATATGACATAAACCCCGTAAAATTGAACTCATAGCCATCCGTTGTGATAATCTGCATGCGTTTTTCTGATGATTTCAATCCATTTGTGGGAGAACAGACTTTGCTCAACTGATCCAGCAGCACTATCACCTACATATTCCACACAAAAATCAGTACTCCTTACCAGAAAGTTCCTCCTATTGTAATGATGCAAAATTAGAAATGCAGTATTTTATGGTCTTAAATTATACAAGTTCATTAGCAGTTGTCTGGCTTTGGTTAAAGAAATTGCCATGAATCTTCCAGTTTAATTTAAATGGGGTCTGTTTCCTTGTAACACATAATTCAAGTGTGTCAAAATCAATCCTCTAAAACTAATTCAAGTGAATTGTCTGAAATTATATCAAGGAAATGAGGTAAACAAGCACCTTATAATAAACGCATTGATGCTGCTTCTGCTGCTGCAAGGAGAATGGATGATGGCACAGTGGATAGTCACTGCAAAATGCTAATCTTTTAGTTGATATATAAAGCGTTCCAATGAGAGGTACAGAGTTTGTTGATACATAGCATGCATATGGCTGCAAGAGCTTCTCTCCTGGGAAAACCCCAAATGTTTGCTGAAATAGCTTTTCAGACCCTCCTGATGCAATTACCTTTGTTCCTTGAATAAGCTTACCAAGTGCAGCATCAGCTGGTCTAGAACTAACACTTACTGTCACACAAAATATATTAGAATTAAGTCAGAACTTAGAAGGATCCCATAGAAAAAAAGGGAGAAACTTAATTTATTTTGCTTCTTTGATTTGTTTATTCTCTTCTCGCTTCCTTGTTGAGAACTTTCCACTAATTTAATATCAAAGAGAATAACAGGGGATCTTCTGTGTGTGTTTTAAATAAGATTTAGTGATTCAAGATCCATACCATCTTCACGATTGCAACTTCACTAAGAGTTAGGTGTTTGTAAAAGGGTTACATCAGCAAGACTCAACTTGGGAGGGTGAACTAAATTGGTGATTGCAATGACATGCAAAAAGTATTTATCTATTATGTCTATGTGATAGGACTCCAAATATGGATCATAAGGTGAGAAGTGAGCATGGGCCTATTACTCAACAAGGAACAATTATAGACGGGTAGTTAGGCTTAGAATATGGAATGTTTATACCAGAAGAAAGAAAGTGGGGTCAAGTGAGGAAGGAGTGAAAAGTTAATTAGGAAACAGGGATGACGTGTAAGAAATCCCTATGATGTGGGATTCTGGTATATGAGAGAGGGAGAGAGTATGTGGGAGGGGGTGTAATTGTTGGTCTGTTTTGGAGGAGAGTTACTCTCTGGAGGAGACTATGACTCTGGGTTACTTTGTTTGCTATAGAGCTATCAGCTCATCATTATTTTACTGCATAATCTGTTAAATAATACATACCTATCTATTCAGTTTGTTCTTAATTTCTATCAGTATGATTTAGTAAAAGAAAAAAAAAATATATGTATTCAGGTTCCAAGTGATGATGGGCATGAAAGAAACAAAGACAAAGGGCAATCTTACCATCATAGGACTGAAAAAGAAGGCAGAAGAAAACTCACAGTGATTACATATATTGTCAACCATGATCTCAGCTTGCTTAGTTGCTTCTTGAACCTTCTTGCCATAATTATTCATTGCACGATGTATTTTATCCATTGCATTGGAACCTGAAATCATAGCAGGGAAATCAGTGAAACAAGAATAAATTTAGTTACAGAAACACGAGCTCTTGGAAATCACTCACGTTTGTGAGCTGCAGGGGAAGGGGAAGCAGAGGAAATGTAAACATAAGGATTGTTGCTGTTGACGCTAGTTGTACTAGCAGTAACAGTAATCTCTGTGTCATAACTCATCATTTCCTTGTTTAGAGAACCAAGTGAGCTTGACACTAGTAGGTTCAAAGTTTGATGGAAGAACTTAGAGAGAGATAAAAGGCGGGGATGCAGAGAGAATAGAAAGAAAAGAATGCAGTGCCAATATTGTCACGTGAATTTGAATCCAAATTTGGAGAACGATAAAAAATGGGAGAGAAGAATATAAGGCAGCACTAGTGATGTGAAAGAGATAAAGAGAACAAATGAATCATAAGAAAATGCTGTAGAAATATATTACAAGAATAGAATAAGGAGTTACTTTTCCTACACATCCACATATCACTGTATTCAAAATATATAACAATAAATTTTATCACAGTAAGATTAAATATATATATATCACATAAAATTAAATCACGAATACGATTTATTATAAGATTTCTCTTTACAACTTCTTTGAATTTTTTTTTCTCCTAGATGATTAAATATATATATATATATATATATATATATATATATATATATATATATATATATATATATATATATATATATATCTCGTTACTTTATTTGCATATATATTCAAACTATTTTAATTGATTCTGGTTGATGTATATTTATTTGCATGTTTTTCCTCTCCATCTATCCGAAAGTTTTGTAAGAATAAAATCATGAAAAGTTATAATAAAATCAAAACAATTTTATTATTAGACTAAATATTGAATCCACCGTTGGATTCAAATTAGAGTCTGAATTCTTTCTTATCCTCTAGTTCACAAAGGGTGTATATGAATATAAGTAATGTGGAATTCATGAATCTATTTGAATATAACTTCCAATTGAAAACTAAGGATAGTAGCGATAATGAATCATATTATTAATATTTTTTTAAAATTACTCAAATAAAATCTCTATCAAATTATTTACCCATATGCAATTTTCTTCTCTCTCCTCATAATTTTTTCTTTTTTCTTATTCACTCATTTTTTTTCTCTTCTAATGTAGGTCTCTTAATAAATATTTAATTTTTTTCTTAATAATTATAATATAACAATAATATTTGTAACATCTCAATTTTATCCTATAATATTTTCTCAAAAAAGGAAAAAAGAGAAAAAAGGAAGATAAACATTAAAGGAAGATAGAGAAAAAAAATAAAAAGTAAATGAAGAGAGAGAAAAATAAGAAAATAAATAAGGAAAGAGAGAAAAATAATTATATTATGTCAAACTAATTTATTTCCACTTATTGAATTTTGTGTATGAACAATAAATAATTCTAATTGGGTAAGTAAATTTAGAGAGATTCTATTTAACTAATTTTTCTTTTTAAATGTATTATTTTTGAGATTGATTCTTAGCACTGAAGCAAGACTATACCTTCGACCTCACGTAGGGATGATAATCAAACCCGTATTCATGGGGATCGATTCGTCCCCGCCCTGAGGTTGACGGGAAAAAACTGAGTTGACCGGGTTTGGGTTCAGGTTTTCCCGCTTTAAGAAATTGGGTTCGGGGATGGGAATGAGTAATGCAATTCCATCCCGACTCATTTCCGTCTCGACTTTATATTTAAACCTAAATTCTAAAATATTAACCTTTTGTCTATTTGTCTGTTTGTCTTCTCTTCTTTTTTTATATTACATATTAATCTTTGATTTTCTTTATATATAAATTTAAATCCTGAAATATAACCCTATGTCTTTTCACCTTACCCTTAGTCTTTTCACATTACCTTCTTTTGTCTTCTTATAATACCCTTTATCTTCTTATAGTACATAGTGTGTTCTTTCACTTCACTCTACTTTCATCTATTCTTAATCTCTTTGTCTTTTTCAATATCTTCACGACTAGTCGTAGTTCAACTCACATTTGGTTTCTCCTATCTCTTTAACTAGTTTGACTTCTTTAATCGACTTCTCGAATATCTTCAACTAGTTTGTTGAATGTATAAGGTAATTTTTTTTTATTTATCTTTTTCTAAATATGTACATCAATCTTAGTATCATTTTATTTCTAATTCATTTTTATTATATCATGTTTTTTGGGTTTATTATTCTTATTTATCGTATATCATATCTTATGTTAATTAAATAATTATATTTTTATCTTTTATGACCAATGTAAGTCTTATTAAAAAAAAAACAGAGGAAAACATGGTAAAGAAGAAAAAATATTTAGGCAATCAATAATACATGTCTTGTTTATAGTGGTAGATATTTTTTTTATATGATGAAAAATAATGAAGCAACACAAGTAAGTACACAGGAACCATTGTTAAAAGAAAATTCTAACCTTGATTGTTGACAATTCAAGGACTTGATGTTGCACTTGATGAATATGAAGAATGGATTTTGATGATGATCCAAGAACTAAAGACTTAGAATATTGAAGATTGAAGATTGGTGATAATTGTATTGTAATAACTTCGATTTATTTAAGATTGAGTCCGTATTTTTAGAGTCTAAGATAGCCGGTACATAGTCCGTAACTTAGAAGCTTCAAAAAGCTCAAATTTATCATTCGGGCTCGGGTTTAATCGATTATATAGGTAAATAATCGATTAAAACGAGTGAGAAAACACTTTCTATACAAACTCACTGTTTTAATCGATTAAAACAACAAAAGAATCGATTGTTTTGTACTGTCCGTACGAGATAATCGATTATTTCACCAAATAATCGATTATTCCAGAGAGGGTTGGGTTACGAAGTATTTGGCTCTGTTTTAATCGATTATTACTCCAAATAATCGATTATTTCGATCTGTTTTTCAAATTAAATTTCAAATTAACCCTATTTTCGAAAACCCAATTACCAAGAACCCTAGTTTCGAAATCCTCAATTCCTAAACCCTAATTTCCCTACTTAAACTCTGCTTTAGCACTCGGAAACTATGAACAACTAAAGAACAACTCTTTCCATACAAAAGTTAAGTGCTTGTGAGTGCCGGAGAACTGTTTGTTGCAAGGAAAGGGGGCTTTTGGAAACTTCGGTGTGAGGCTAGAAGCGATAAGAATCACTAAGTGGAGTTCTTAGTGGATTGAGTCTTTGTCGTCGTCTCGGGAAAAGCTGTTCTTCGGGGCTTTTGGAAACTTGGTGTGAGGCTAGAAGCGATAAGAATCACTAAGTGGAGTTCTTAGTGGATTGTGTCTTGTGCCGTCTCCAGGGAAAGCTGTTTATCATCTCTTGTGGATTTCAAGAGAGGTTTTATCTTTAACTTTATCTTTTTCATTATAATTTGTGTTGTAACAACTTTGTTCTTAGTGACAACGTTAATCCTCTTTTGAGTGATTAGCAACTGGACGTAGGGTCTTTTGATCCGAACCAGTATAAACCTATTGTGTAATCTTCTCTACTCTTCTCTATTTACATTTACGCAGTTTTTAATCGGTAAAATTTGGGGAAAATTTTGAAAACCTAATTTTTATTAAGTAACCAATTCACCCCCCTCTTGGTTTTTGTCCGACCACGCGAACATTCGCTGCGCGATTCTAACAAGTGGTATCGAGCTTGCTTTGATAGTCATTCAAACTTTTCGAAAATGGCCGGACAAAATCAAACTTTTGCCGAAGGTGCGTCTATCAACGAGACCCCCACTTTTTGCGGGTCAAAATTATCCTTTTTGGAAAGTACGTATGCAAATATTTTTAGAGTCCGTTGATAGAGGTGTTTGGGACGCAATTTTAAATGGTCCATTTGTTCCTAAAATTACGAGAACGGTGTTGACGTTCTTAAACCTATTTCTAGATGGACTGCCGACGAAAGTCGAAAAGCACAATTTGATGTTAGGGCTAGAAACATTATTTCATCTGCTCTAACCCTTGATGAGTTTTATAGAATTTCGGTTTGTAAAAGTGCACGGAAATGTGGGAAATGCTTAGAGTAACCCACGAAGGAACCGACGACGTCAAAAGAGCACGTAAAAATTCTCTAATTCAAGAGTACGAAATGTTCGGATGCAACCAGGCGAAACGATATTTGACGTACAAAAACGTTTCACTCATATCGTGAACCATCTCACTAGGACTAGGTAAAATTTTTGACGTTGATGAATTAAATGTTAAAATTTTGAAATCTCTCGGATAGGAAATGGCAACCAAAGGTGACGGCCATCTCGGAGTCACAAAATCTTGCCACTATGTCTATGGCGGCGTTGTTTGGAAAGCTTAGGGAGCATGAACTTGACCTTGGAAGACTAAATGAGGAAGAGGGTCAATATCAAAAGAAGAACCTTGCTTTCAAAGCCGAGATTTCAAAAAGCAATAATAAGAAAGAAGAAGAAGAAGACTCCGAAATTGATGAAGAAGAGATGAGTCTTTTTATAAAGAAGTTCACCAAGATGATGAAAGCAAAAGGAAGACATCCTTTCAAAGGTAAGGGAAAGGTAAAAGAAAATTCTTCCGTTAATATAAAATGCTTTGGTTGTGGTGAAGCGGGGCATATGAAGACCAGAATGCCCAAACAAGAAAAATGATGAACATAAGGGCAAAAAGCAATTCAAGAAGAAAGCATATATTGCTTGGGATGACGGTGATTCAAATTCAGAATCAAGCGACTCGAAATTGAAGCAAACATTTGCTTGATGGCAAATAACAACAATTCTTCGGATTTTGAGGTTAGTGATTCCGATTCATCCTCTTGTGAAGAAAATGATCATGATGAATTACAAAATGCTTATAATGAGTTATTTACTGCATTTATGGATATGAAAAAGGAATATAAAGTAGTAAAGAAGAATCTAAGAAAATCGGAAAAGGAAAATGAGTCCTTAAAATTGAAAATTGCATGTTTAGAAGAAAAGGAGGTAGCTAATACGAAAATTGTATGCTTAGATGAGAATAAGGACTTAGCTTGTGCAAATTGTAAAGAGCATGAATATGACATAGATATTCTTAACCATTTGCTTGACAAAGCCGAAAAAGAAATTGATGATCTTAGGAAGAATGAAATGGTTTTTGCTCAAAATAATGTAAATCATAGAGTTCCTTTGAAAAAGAGTAAATCTAAAAAGAAAAGAATATGGGTAGAAAAAGGAACTAGA